CCCGCGCGTGCCGCTGCCGCCGCCGCCGCCGCCGCCACCGCCGCCGCGTTTCCCCGCGCCGCCACGCGTCCTCGCACCTGACCGCGCTCGAGCTGCGCAGGCAGACGGCGCGCTCTGGCAGACAGAGCAGCGGCCGCCCAGGCGGTCGCTGCTCCGCCCCGTCCGAATCCGTCCGCCCGCGCGTGCTGCTGCCGCCGCCGCCGCCGCTCCACCCGGTGCCCGTGTGCCGTGAGAGTTGCTTTGTGCATGTGTATGGGTGTGGACTTATATGTCACACTTGAGCCTCTACCTATGATAGTAGACCGGTACTCGGGTTTGGATGGTAGCGGGGGGCCCCGCCGGAGGCTGGTTACTGATTTCCGCCGATCCATGGCGAGCGTAGCTATATGACGGGACCGCGGCCGCGGAACCGGCGGCGGACGGGGCTGGCACGCGCAAGCGCCGGCCACCGTCGTGCCGCCGGGGATATCGGCGCAGCGGACCCTGGATGCTCTGGAATCGAATCGCTCCGATCGCGTGCAACCGCTGGAGAGGACGCGGTGTGTGTCGCACGGTTGTTCGGTGCGTCGCAGGTCAGGCTGATAAGGACTGGCTACGCGACCATCGAGATCGAGCTGAAGAACGTGAAGGCGGCGGAGCGCTCGTACATCGAGCGCACCGCGCCAAAGGAGAAGGAGCTCACCAAGGAGCAGCTCGCGCGCGCGGCAAAGGCCGCGGCACGCAAGGCCAAGAAGATGCAAGGGTGGCGATCGGCTCGGCTGGAAGGGGGCTTTTGTCGCCTTCGGCAACACCGAGCGGGCGCTGCTCGACTTAGTGTTAGGGCATGCTGCATGGCCGCGGCCGGAGGGGGGGGGGGAGGGGGGGAGGGAGGCGGAGGATGCAGAGGCGGAGGCGGCGGCGGCGGAAGAGGAGGAGGGGGAGAGTGAGGGGGAGGCGGAGGCGGGGGCACCTGTGACGGCCCGCTACGAGAAGGGCGACTACCGGTTCGCGCGGGAGAAGAATTGCGACCTGCGTTTGCTCAACTTCGAGACGTTCGGCGGCTTCGGGGACGGCGTCCGCAGAATTCTTCGGCAGGCGGCGGACCAGCTGAGTAACAAACTTTCGCACGCTCAGCACCTCGATGAGGTCACATGGACCACCAAGAACTGGCACGGGCTGCAGATGCAGCGCTTGTCTGTCGTTCTCCACACCGCCGTGGCGTGGCAGACGGTGAACGAGCTAGCGTGCGGGGACAGCGGCATTGTGCACGGAGCGAAGTGCATTGCCGTTCTTGGGGCGCATGCGCACACCAGCCCCACGCGTCTGCCTCGCAGCATCAGAGAGAGGACTCTTCCCAGCATCTCCTTGCGCTGTTCTCTCGTGACTCGCGCTGTCCCTTGGATGGATACGAAGGGGAGGGGTGTAATCTCTCGCCACCTCCAGCGGAGGTCTCCCGTCTTCTAGAATCTCAGCAAACCCGTCGATTACGAGTCCTCTCTCTGCCTCTCCTCTCATGCCGAGAGGGTTGCCGAGGGGGGTGTCTCTCTGGATGGGTACTAGTGTGAGATCTGGATCTCGGGGTGGGAGTTGGTGCTTATTCAGCACCGTAACTAGTTGTCAGGCTGTGTTCCGCATGTCGGCGTCGGAGGAGGAGGAGGCCCCCTGGCGGGCTCGCTTGCGGCGGAGGATCTCGTCCCTCTTGCTCTCCACTTCGTCCCTCGACGCCATGTTCTTCTTGCCGCCGCGGTACACGCCGATGCAGGTGCACATGAGCTGCGTCTCGTTGCCGACGAGTCCCATCTGTGTACGCAGGGGGAGAGGGGTCGGAGTGTTTTTCTTTATTTGGGTTGTGTTTTTCTTTTTGGGTTGGGGCTGCCTGCTGGAGGTGGATGATGCGGTCCTTGACGGGCTTGCAGTACGAGGTCCGGGGGGTCAACTTGAGGCACTTGTCACAGAAGATGGTCATGTTCTTGTTGGTGAAGCCGACCTTCCAGTCGTACCCGTTCTTGTGATGGGTGTCACTCTATGATGCTCGCTTTTGCACATATTGCACATGCGCATATGAGCTCACATGTCTCCGACTCGAGCACACGCACACACCGCTAGTCAGTAGAATTGCTCCTCATACTTGTCCGTGTAGTAGTCGTCATCATCGAGGTCCCACGAACCTCCCTCCTCGTCGTCCTCCTCGTCGTCCTCCTCGTCGTCGTCCTCCTCCGCCGCCGCCGCTGCAGCGACGCTGGCTTGACCCGCCGCTCGCCCTTCCACCCCGCCTCCCTCCCCCCCCCCCGCTGCAGCACGCGCCAGATCCGCACCCACCCCGTCCTCGAGGCGTGAGAAGCGCCGCTGCGCCGTTTCACCGCGGCGCAGCGTCGCCAGCGTCGCGGCGGGGACCACCCCCCCCTTGGCGACGAGCTTGCGCCGCAGCCGCAGCCGCAGCGACGCGCCGCCGCCGCCCTCCCGCCCGCCCGCGCCGCCTCCGCCGCCGGAAGCCTTGGGAGGGGGCAAAACCTCCACGAGCACCTAGCCGAGATCGCCCGAGATCAACCCGAGATAGCCCGAGATGGCCTGAGATTGACCCGAGATCGTCCGCGAGCACCGCGTCGCCGACGCCGACCTCGCCCACGGCGTCGCCCATCTCTGACGCGTGCAGCAAGCCAAGCGCCTTGCCCAGGCGGGGGCGGGGGGGGGGGGGGGGGGGGTGGTGAAGGGGGGGTGAGGAGCTGCGGTGAGAGGAGCCGCGGTGAGGGGGGGAAGAGGGAATGTGAGGGAGGGGACGAGGAGAGCAGAGGAGGGCAGAGCGCAGCGTGGGGAGGATGGTGACGGCGGCAGCCGTGGGCGGGCGGCGGGGCGGAAGAGTCAGAGGGCTCAGAGGCGGCGGTTTAGGGAGAGAGGGTAGAGCCGTCGCCTTGGCGCCGACGTTGACAATGACTCCGAAGCTCTCGACGCGAACCACAGCGCCCTCCCGCAGCGAGCCTGCAGAGTGAAATGTCCGAGGCAGTTCAGACAAGGCTCCACTGGCGCGTACCACCCGCCCACTGGCGCGCCGGAGCGCAACGACGCCGCGGTCGGCCGCCGTGCGCGCGCGCGCGCCAACCGCCGCCGAGCCTGCAGGGACCCTCCCCCGGGTGTGAGCGAAGGGTTGTTTTCGGAGCCAAGCTTTTTGAGCCGGCCGTCGCGCCGTCAGGCCGTCGCGGAGCAGCTCGATCGGCTCTGGCCGCAGCGTGAGCAGCAGCCGGCCAGACGCGACGTTCGCCTCGAGCACGCGCGCCTCGAGACAGACACGGAAGGCCTCAACGCCCCTCCGCCCCCACACTCTCCCGCTCAACGGCCCTCTCTGCCCAGCTCGAGGTGGCCTGCCCGGGTGCCGAGGGCAGTTGAGGCCATGCGAGTGCATTGGCAGGTTGCATACAGGTTGTCAGTGTGCACGCGGGCCGCTGAGCCGGGCCCGCACAGCCCCGTAACCGCAAACTCATCTCAGAGCGCGCGCGCCTCCACCTCTTGGCCGGAGGAGAGGCGTGGCTCGTCCGCCCCGCCCTCGCCGCCTATCGACGCCGAGGCAAAACCGGGAGGGGAAGGAGTGTGAGAAGTAGCTGCAGCTGGCCGCCGGCCCGTCGCAGCGGCGGCCAAAGCGCAGCCGGCAGCGCTTCGAGGTGCGGCACATGCAAGCACGAGGTGCGGCCGAGGTGCGGCCGAGGTGCGGCCGAGGTGCGGCCGAGGTGCGGCCGAGGTGCGGCCGAGGTGCGGCCGAGGTGCGGCCGAGGTGCGGCCGAGGTGCGGCCGAGGTGCGGCCGAGGTGCGGCCGAGGTGCGGCCGAGGTGTGGTCGCGCTTTGGGAGGTGGTGGCTCGGCAGAGGAGGAGCGGCGGCGGAGTGCTATCGGCGATTGCTCACCGAGCTGGTCCAGCGGGACGAGGCCATCGCAGCGCCTGCGCCGGCCGCGTGAGCCGCGGCGCGAGACGCCGCAGTCGACAAAGACGCCGCACGCCGCGGAGTGAACCACCCTTCCGCGCAGCGCGTCGCCCGGCGCGAGCGTCTCGAGCACCACGCCGCCGCGCGCAGCGGCCGCCAAGAGCACCTCAGCCTCCCACGCCTCTGCATCCGACTCGCCCGCGAGATCTGCCGCCGCCCCCAACGGAGGGTCGAGCGCGACGCGGAGGCGGCCATCGTCGACGCGGCGCACGTACACACTGAGCGGCTGGTCGGGAACCTGCTCCCGCAGCGGGTGACGCTGTGGAAGGTTGAGCTGAGCGGCGACCGCTCTGCCGCGCCGTTCGACGCCGACGTCGACGAAGAGCTTGTCACGGTGGCGGCCGACGACGCAGCCGGAGAGGCGCTCGCCGACGGCGAGCGAGGCGAAGGAGCGCGAG